ATCTCTTCACTTGTGGAATCATTCCTGTTGTAGTCAAAAGCCCCACTGAAGCTCTTATACATAGCAGGCACTCCAAGTTTGTAGTGATAGTTTTGCCGGACAGTGATCCTACCCTGATCAGAAAAGTTAGGTTGGTAGCTCATCTCAGTCCTTTACCATAAATATTTTCAGTACTAAATATTGCTTATATTATCCCAAAGACTTTAAAAGTACATCTATTGCAATAGAGATGTCACTCCTTCTAAACCAAGTGACAAAAAATTGTTAGAGAAATATTACTCAATTGACTAAGTAAATGTTATACTTCATAATTAAGTTTTCCTTACAGCTTCAACATTCTGTGTATTTGCCTTTTTTTTGAATATGTGTTAACTCAGTAAAGTTCTTCAGGAATTTGGGTTGAGCTTTTATTCCAGGTCAGCTGATGGCATCAACTGTCAAACACCAGTGATTGTCATTTCAGTGGCTGATATTTTACCAGGTAGGCTCTAAGTATGTTTCAAGAATGACTAGCCCTTTTCTTCCTATAAGATTTGTGGATATATGAAAGACATGTAAAAGCAACCTTAACATTCAGGAACTAGATCAGAAACAAGTGAGAGATTTCACTTCAAATATTTAGCATAATGATAAGATAATGTGTACTTGTATAACTTTATTCGAGTGAGCCATAACTTTTTGCACAGTTTTAGTTAAAGGGTATAATTACCAGTAAGCTGTTCCTGATTGAAAAACTGTGAAACTGCCTGGTTTTTTTTTTTTTCTTTATCCCATCTCTGCAAAAACGTCTCCCTTCATAGTGATGGTTTATGGTTTTTTTTGCAGGAAAATAGTGCAAGGGTGCAGTTTCATGGGTGATAAAATCTAATGATATCAAATAACAAGTTATAGTGACTTAAGAAATTTAGTTGGAGTAAACTGACAAAATTTACTCCAAGTGAAACTTAAGCCATGATCCTAACTCTTGAAAAGAACTAGAAATATGTTAAAAAATTTTTCTTGACAAGTGCTTCTTTCCAAACAAATGGTCCCTGGTTTACATGTGTTCTTGGAATTGTCATCTCAGTTTATTATTTTTTCTTTAACAGAAAGCACTTTGCACATGTTGGGCAGAAATGAGATCCAAGAAGCAATCCATAGAACATCAGATCCTGAAAAGTTTGAAACTGATTTGATAACAGCCTTAAGTCATTTCATTAGGCAGACTCACCGTACTGGTAAGTGTCAGAAATATTTTGCTTTCATCTCAGTATGGCCTGTGAGCCCCCATATGACCATTCTGCAGGAGGTTGTTGCTTGACTTCAAATCTGTATAACATCATTCAGAGATCTTTGTGATTTAATTGATGATGAAGAAGGTGGTTAACACTTTAACTCCCAAGATCTCTTTAGCAATTCTCCTTACTGTCTGCCATACAATTCTTATAATGTTTGTTCAGAGAATTTAGTATTGGATCAACCAATTATCCCCTAATTGATATTTTACCTTATTCTCATCTCTTCTATGCTTGATATTGTAAGAGAAATTCTGTCTTGATCACTCATGGGAGTTAAAAGGTTAAAAGAGTGGGTCATGGTGCCAATTTTCTAATTTCAGCATGTCTGTATTGTTACTTAAATCTTCTTTAGAATCTTTTAATCATAAACAAAAAATTGAAATGATACATGTGCAGTAGAACAACACCCATCAGTTCATGTTGATTGTTTACCTCTGAACTGATCCCAGTTACAAGTTTGTTGTTAAAGTATTTGGATGAAGCAGTCATGAGAAAAGTATAATCCAAGATGATGTTCTAATGCTTATCCACAGTGGACCAGGGACTGTCATTGTTACCTATGCCAGTCCCAGTCTGTTGGAGTACCGCACCTTCGCAGTATACCTCAGCTCTTGCACACCCATTTGAACATCCAGAGGGAACAGGTTTGACGACTGGTTTAGTAAATTATGCACCAAGAAAGCCAATTCTTACTCAAATTCAAGATCTCAGTGAAAAAAGGTTCGTAGACCAAGTTCAGGAATCTAGGAACCTATTGGTAAGTGGCCAGACTGTGACTCAAGTCATGAACCAAGGACTGGCTACTCCTAAAGCCCCTCCTTCTATGGGACTTGGTACTCAAGAAAATTCAGAAGCAGTGTTACCTGGTATTGAGACACTTTTGAATGCCATTCAAGTGGTGGAAGGTGAATCTCCAGCCACCGATAATGAAGCTCCTTGTTTCACAAAGATCACAGCTCTTAATGCTCCTGACTCTGTTAAATCAAGGTTAGTTTGCGTGTTGTACTTGGTGGTAAAAAGAAGGAAAGATTTCCGCAATTTTTTCCCAACAAGATGACCGCTGGGTTAAAACCGTTTTTTTAAAGGATCAATATTTGCATATCTTGAAAATTGGAAATATTTAAAAATCGCTTATTGCAATCAGCTTCACTTTTGAACGTCATCAGTTATTCTTGTTTCCTGTTTCTTTTCTGTTCTTCTCCTTTAACAAGCTTAATTTTTTTGTCTTGTTCAAGTTCAACACAGGTTAGATTGCACAGAAAAAAAGTTCATTAAAATAATCGACGTGCGTTGACTCGAGTTTTCACAATTGTAAAAACAACAGCATTGCAAAAATCTTATAGCAAAAAAAATTTACAATTAATTTATAATAAAAGTTATTGTGACAATCTGTAAGTTTAGTCATCCCAGTTGCTTAAACGTTCTGTAATTTTAGTCATCCCAGTTGCTAAGACGTGATGTCATGGGGGAGGGGGGGTATTGTTTCCTTTCCATGTCATCCTCTACCCCCTCTAATTGTTTTGCAAATTTTCATAACGATTCACTTTAATAACGCCACTGGGTCGG